GTTATAATAAACTAAGTATTGGTATCCTTTGCCCTGTGTACTATGCATGTGAGTATGACAGTATCAGTTAATGCATGCTCGCTGGAGAGAAAGGGACGTGAGATTTTAAAAATGTTTAATATGTACTCTGCCATGTCTAGCACACCACTCTGAATGCAACATTGCCATTTATCAATTGTTAGGGGTTAATGAAGCTAATTGAAAAAAAAAAAGTTATTCCAGTGTTTCAGTTTACATTAAAAAAAATTATCTTTCCAGGGGAGTGCTTCACAAAAATGATGAATTGGGACTGTGGGGAGTACCACTGCCGACAGACGAGCCCGTTGTGTACCGCACACAGAGGTACCGTCATGATGTACTTGGTCAGCGGCCTTTGCAGTTCCAGCAGTTCCTTGGTGTCCGCAGTTCCTTCCAAGGAGTGGGACTTCTCATAGGCATGGCATACTTTACTTTCATTTGTTTCTTCAGCTGGACCAGGAAGCTACTTTTAAAGGTAATTACAATTAAGGATTGGTTATTTTCTATGTACTTTTTTCTGTCTATTTTATTTCACAGTATATCTTCCCTTGTTTTCATTTGTTTTTATTGTATTTGTCTTGTTATTTTATAAACTATTAATTACATGTGTATCAGTATGTATATTAATTACCTGTGTATCAGTATGTATATTAATTACATGTGTATCAGTATGTATATTAATTACATGTGTATCAGTATGTATATTAATTACATGTGTATCAGTATGTATATTAATTTCATGTGTATCAGTATGTATATTAATTACATGTGTATCAGTATGTATATTAATTACATGTGTATCAGTATGTATATTAATTACATGTGTATCAGTATGTATATTAATTACATGTGTATCAGTATGTATATTAATGTACATGTGCAATACAGACAAAGACAGTTCACATGGAAGCCTATTGTATTTAGTTGTTTTTAGCTTAAGAAATAGTGGTTGGCAATATGATATTTTTGCTGAATGTTTTCATATTAGTTTATCCAGTATTTAAATATATGTTATTAATATGTAGACATCAACATTTATTAACAAGATACTAGTGCTTTGGACATAAGGCAGCAATCCTTTTTTATTATTATTATTCAAAAATATGTGAAATTTCATTGCAAAGTAATATTTGGAGATCAAAGCAACTTCAGAATGATACCTGTACTCGGCTTACACTCATGTACTTTCTACAAACATTGTTATTATTTTTTTCAGTACCCTGAAATTATGACAGCAGGCGTATTCAGCCGTGCAGGATCAGACCGCGAGTCACTGAAAGCTCTTAGATTCACAGCCACTCTAGTCGGCCATGGCTGGTCAGAATCACTACTGGAGGGATCAGACGAGCATACAGAGCCTCCAAATGCTTCAATTAAAGTTAAGGTAAGACCAATATTGCTGTTTTCATATTAAGCTTAATTGAATAGAATGAGATGGCATAGCATCAATTTTGTAAGCACTAGGTTCTGGGTTTGTGGCTGTCACACTTGTCTGTGGATGAGTACTGATATGCCAAGATTTGCATGCTGAGGTAAAAGTTAAGGTATAGAGGGTTTCACTGCGTGCTGTGTGGTGCAGTGGTAGCAATCTCGTCTAGCAATCTTGCTGACCTGTATTCAAATCCTTCGCTGCCAGTGGATGGTAACCCCGGCTATTCCTTGCACACAGGGGATAACAGACACTATGTCGTACCAAGAATATCCGTTGTAACAAATGGAATCAAACTAAACCTTTTTTTACTACACCAACCCATAACTAGGTACACATGTCCCTCTATAGACATATCCCCTATATTCACTTGGATCTAGGACCATCTTTGACTGTGGCTTTGAATTAATACATTATTCAGAGTAGTCTTTTTTGTCACATTTCTGTTAACCTCTCTTCAAAATGGGAATGGAACTATTTATAGATATACCTCTTATTTCTCTAGAATAATAGATGACGACATATTACAAAAATTCTGCATTCTGTGCCATTCAGTTTTCAACATCGGTGTTTGATAAGCAGGAAGACTGATCTTTCTGCGGTCCTTTATAGGGAAAACAGTTGTAGTTGAAAAGGGATGAATTCAAGAAAAAAACTCCGATATCTCTTTTCTTGAATCAAAAATATAAAAAAAATTAGAGCATTTTCACTTAGAGCCTATTTTCTTTTCAGGTTTCGGGACCAGACCCAGGCTATGGGGCAACATCGCTCATGATGGTTGCTTGTGCCATGACCATTTTGCGGGAAAAAAGCTCCATTCCTGGCAAGTGAGTATCAACCATGCATCCATTCATCCATCATTGTCTTCTTTATCATCATCATCATCATCATCATCATCATCATCATCATCATCATCATCATCATCATCATCATCATCATCATCATCATCATCATCATCATATTTGTTGTTGTTAATATTGGGAATATTATTATTATCATTATTATTATTAATAGTAGTAGAAGTAGTAGTTGTAATATTGTTATTATTATTGTTGTTGTTGTCATTTTCATCAATAATGCAATTATTATTGATACACAAAAGAAAAAGAGAAAATTATCTGTTTTTTAAAGAAATATATTCTACTTTACTCTACTGTAAAACTTATCTTTGGTATATGGTATTCACAAAAGTATGAAATAAACCTTTCATTTTTTGTTGCAGAGGTGGAGTTTTGACTCCAGGAGTTGCCTTCATGAATACAGACCTTATCAAGTGTATGGAAGACCAAGGTATGACTGTTGAAGTCGTAGAGTGAGCCAGGTGGATGAAAAATGGAAATGTTTGTGTCAGTTTTTGTGTTAATACTGCAGGGTTAGGGTTAGGATTCTCTTTATTTGATTTGTGTGGCATGCCTTTTTGACTCTCTAAGATGGAACTTCTCATTAGTATTTTGTGAGAACCTTTCAACCTTGTTACAGAGGTTTGAGAGGATAGCATTCCTAGTCTGAGCATTCATTCCTTTCTGTATCACTTGAGGAATATGCCGAAACCAAGTTTACTTGAAGGTTCAAAACTAAAAGTCTAAACTCTACAGATTTTGATCCCACAGGCATGATTTTGATGTGGAGAGACATGACTAGAATCCACATGTAGTGGAGTATGAAATATTGTAGATGACATTTTTCTGGTTTTAGTGTGTGATCCATCAGGTCTATAGCTGATATGGAAGGTGTCAATGACTATTTAGTACAGAAATGCTGAAGACTTGCAAATTTAGGGACTTACCTCTATAAGCTCTCTGAAAACAAGTCTTTGACACCAAAATATATGCAATAGTCAAAATAACTGGTGGGCATGTAGCTATATAATAAATTGATAAAGGGCTTAGACAATGCCTATATCTACACAGAAGATAACCACTATCGTAAATGCTTATTGAAAATTAGTTATTGGATTGGTATGTTATCATATCCTAGGAAGTATTCACTCAGGTACAGTTTTTTGTGGAATGCCATTAATTTAATAGATTAATAGGGAGAAGGTAGTTAAACTTCATTGAAATGTAAATGTAATTTAGATGTTAATTTTTAAAATTTTATGATACCAAAATTCTTTTATTCCTTAATTAGTCTTTTTTTTCAATGTCAGAAAGTAGAGGCAAAGAGGAATACTCAATTTAGACCAGAAATATGTAGAAAAGGAGGCAAGAAATGTCCATAGTAAGAAGCTGTTAAGAGTCAGAATATGTCATTTGTCATTTTGGGGCCCATTAAGGGTATACTGTTATCAACATTTCCATTGTCTTTCATAGTCAAATAAACAATGTATGTACATGCATGTGCATAAACTGATCAATGCAAACTTTACCTGAGCAAATGTTGCAGAACTAATTAATGTATTTCTTACTTGTAACTAACTTTATTTTGATTTGATATATGTTTCTATGCTTGATATGTCATATATATATATATATATATATATATATATATATATATATATATATATATATATATATATATATATATATATATATATATATAATTTAAATGCTAAACATAAAATTGAAGTATACAAGTATAAGTGTTTTATTTATATCCAGTTTTATAGTGAAAGGGAAATCATTTTATGTTATATACTTCTGTGTATATATACACAGTATATCTATATCTATATGTCACAAGCCAGATAATGAGATAACCACTATTGATATTATATTATAGATTTGCCCATAATGTTACAACATATTGTAAAGGTAGGTTGTAGTGAGAAGAGCCTCAGGTGTATTGCAAAGACAAAGTAATGTCTTGTAAGTATATAACTATTAGAAGGATTTTGTTTAAATCTTCAAATACTGTTTTAGCAGTTACACTAAAAAGGAACTCTACACCTTACACAAGTGGGTAAGTGGGTAAGATAACATGAGTGAAGGCTAACAGAAAGACAGCACAAAATCTAGAAAAATTGTTGTAAAGATACAGAGTTACAGATTAGAATCTGGAGTTTCTAAATCTTATTATGATCTAAGTCAGTCTATTGGATATACATTTAAAAAATATTGGATATTATGCATATGATTATTTTCATCACTAATATGAAAAAAAAAGTTATTAGCTGTGAAAGTAGAGTGCCTAGAGAAAATAACTAAAAGGATACCTCTATATATATATACCACAAGTTTTCAGAGAAGAAAATAAGCTATTTCCTAGGTTTGGTTATCAACATGACTATGAGTGTAATGGACAGACAAATAGACATACATACATTCATATAGACTAAAGATTAATCTCTGTGATTTATGATAAAGTTAATTTGTCATGGGAATAAGCCTTGATTTAGCATTAATTTTACTGGGATCAAGGAGGCTCCATCTTATCTATGGGTGTACCAATCTCCTCTCCACCTACAGGCCTTTTGATCTACCTGTAGTCAGAGATGCCAGTTGTTATTGAGCTATAATTTCTAAGATGAAAGGTTATTACTGTATGTCAGAATTATCATTTACCAAATCAAATGGTAAAATTACTAATTAGCATGTTAATGAAAAGGGAGGGT